AAAATTATTTAGGAATTTTTCAGTGATCTTTACCCACAGCTTGGACATGTAAAAATGTTTTCTTATCAATTAATAGTATATAATCTTAGTTAATCCAATAAAAAAAAACCAGGGACAAACTAAAAATGTTAGTGGTTGTTTAATCTTATTTTCGCAACTTGGTCATATTGGTAGGAAGACCTAGAGGAACGCAACTAGTCCGGAGTCCATTGTATGCATGATCATTTCTAAAGTCGGACCGTGGACGTGGTATATTCCCAGACGTTTAGCCGGCATCGTCAAACGTGTGCTAAACAGTTGTGGCATCTCCCCTTCTGCCCTTGGCTATTTAAATTTCCTATATCCTCCTATCACACCTTCACTATTAAAATTATTACCGTGCTTGTTTTTATGTTGCGTGGTGTGCTCCTTTGAGCGGTATTCATGAAAACTCTTCAAACTCCACGCTGTCGTTCTCACCCCTTCACTCTTGTGCTAGGAATGTTGAACAGAGTCTGCCATATTGTTACGCAGTCCTTTCCTAGATCTTATCAAAGTCTCTCTCTTGACTCGTAAGATCCGTCTGTTCTCTCTTGTTCACGTATTTAACTCTACTTCTGCCACTCAAGGCAATATTCACCCTCCTCTGAGTCTGGGTGACTAATTTGAGGCTAAAGCCTCTGAGTAAGTCTCATGGCCACGCCTTTGCTACATGGACCACGTCTATGGTAAAAATACCTATTGTCAGCCAACTAGCTCCAGTCTCCGTCTGTTTTTGCTGGGAATGTTTCTATCCCTAATACAAAGTCTATGACGTCCCATGTCCTAGTCTCTTGTGCGTCAACCCACAAATGTTGTGGTACTGCTTGCTTTGATTAAGTTCAATGTTGAACCACAACGTTTGAAGGTTGGCACACAAGAGACTAAAGCATAGCAAGTCATAGACTTGTGATTAGTGATAGAGACAGTATAGACGCGGCGGAGAATGGATCTAGTTGGTTAACAGTAGGTTTTACCAAAGACGTGGTCCATGTAGCAAAGGCTTGATGATGAGATTTACTGAGAGGCTTTAGCCTCGAATTAGTCACCCAGACGCAGGAGAGGGCGAATAACGCATCTAGCAGCACAGATGGGAGAGGGGAGAGAGTTAACGGATCTTACGGGGAAAGAGAGAGACTGTGATAGGACCTAGGGGAGGAGGACTGCGTAACAATATGGCAGACTCTGATCAACATTCCCAGCACAAGGGTGAAGGAGGAGTAAGAACGCCAACGTGGAGACTGAAGGGTTCTAATGAATCTTGCTCAAAAAGGCACACCACACTAGATTTAACAATGCAAGGTAAAAAATCATATAACAGTGAAGGCGTGATAGGAGGATATGGGAAATGTGTATAGCCCAGGGCAGAAGGGGAGATAGCACAATTGTTTAGCACACGTTTGGTCAAAGGATGGGCTTTAATTGTGTCTTTGACGAGTTGTTG